CCCTCCCCCCTCCGTTCACGCCGCTGTGCCGGCAGCGGCAATCGGTTGGTTGGTCGGTCGGTCGGTCGGTCGGACGGACGGATGGACGAAAGCCTTGCCGCTACAGTCCGCGCGAACTGCGAAACTCGGCCGAGCGCAGCAGCTGAGCGCAGCTGTGCGAAGTCAGCCCCGACACCGCTGCAAATTCGATTCTCGTTTCCACTTGCCAATCGTAACATTCGCAGGTACAGTTATAGGTATATCATTAAGTGGTCGCGCGAAGGTGGATTTCTGGAAGCAAAGGGAACCAGCTTCTCACAGCAGCTGCCGAACGCGTTCGCTCAAGTTCTCCCTCGAGAGCCTCGAGGGACGCACGGGGTATCGAGCGGTATCGATATTTCGAAGATATCAAGGCTGCGGCGCATAGAAAAACGTAAGCAATAAAGACCTATCCAGACACACTTGTGTTACCGCATATGTATAAGGAAATCAACCAATCATGATTCATGCAGAAAAAAGATTTCTTCTATATTGACACATTGATCAGTCCATTTCCTTCTGCATATACATTATGCGATTATGCAAGTTTGTCTGGATAAGGCTTAAAGCAGTAAAAAAATTGACCGACCAATCATATCTCTTTAGGTTTATGTATTCCAAAAGACGATAGAAGTGACGATAAGTTTAGCCTTAAGCAGGAATAACTATGATTTCAATCAGTTGAAAACGATATATAATAAGTTATCTAGATTATATTCATCGATAAATATGTTTCCAAACAAGACCGGAGGGAGCGTTGAATCAAATATCGATTTTTGGAACGCCGTTGGCACGTGTTGCGGAAACGCGCGTTTTACATATTTCGTTTTCGTTGGATGAAACTTAAACTGTGACTCTCAGTATCTTCGACGGTATCCGGTATCCAATAGATTTCACTTTTTTCTAGGGTTCCTTATTAGTAACATTTTCGTCTTAAGGACATCAATCACGTAACTGGTCACGTTTCCGTCCTAGGGGAAAAGTAATCTATGCCCGGACAACGTATTTTCCTATTGAATATCGGACGTCGTACGTTGACGCGTGTAAATAATCCTGCGTTAAAGCGCTAACAGCGCTCTCTTCTTTCACGTTCTTCCAGTATCTTCCCGAAAACATCGTACATAAGCTTCGTCTCTTTGTGAAGCAACAAGCTAATGTTGCTCGACTTCGAGCCATATCTGAGAAAGAAAGAGAAGAGAAAGAGAAGACCGCTTAAAACTTGAGTCGAAAGGCACACAGAGGCCTTCGTTCGCCATTAGACACAGTTACGACACATTATCGGCTCCGAAAATTTCTAGGCTCCGAAATCGTGGCCGGACTGGATCGTTGGTCCGCCAATGGGAAGCGCATGGGAACCTCGCTCGATTGTACACAGGCTAGTGAGTCAAGGGCTTAGCCTTAGCGGCCGTTATGCAACTGCTGTTTCGCGTTTAGCCAATGATCGTGCGGCCACGGCTTAACAAAGACCCCGGGACCTGTAATTATCGGTGAGTATCGTCGGCGAATTAATCGCGTATCGGCTGAAAAGAAATATCGTAGCGTAATTACGTCTTTGACCTTTCGAACGGGGGCAAACGACGTGATCGTCAGGCTGCGATAACAAGTAGACACTGAAAACTCGAATCGAGCTTTTTGGCAAGAACGAAGCGCGCACTTCGAAATGCGTGTTGCGCAAAAATGCGCAAACCGAATCAGCCCGAAAGTAAAACTAGACTCGAAATAAAAATGGAAGTCCATCTGTTGCGTCGTCTCGTCGACTCGTCTGACTCGTGAGCGCGATTCTTTTCTTTTGTTGACACAACTCGAGTCAAGACTAAATACGCGAGCGTCACGCTCGAGCTTCGATCTAAGGTAAGAAAGGTGATAGAACAACCGCCGGTTGGAAGAAGCGGATCGGGTTGCGTGAAAAAAAAAAGAGGCATCGGGTCGTCCGAAATCGGTGAGGTTGACCGAATTCATCGAGCCGCTCACAAAATCTCTCGGATTACTCGAACGCTTCGTCCGTTTCGAGCAGCTCGAGCAAAACGTCGAGTTATCTGAACGATGTCACGACCATCTGCACTGCGTATAATACAGCGCAACTGTAATAATACGTATGCGATGGTGAGCATACTTGGTGCAAACTTCGCTTATACGAGCTCTGATCGGTTCGCGAGTTAATTTTTCCGCAAGAAAAATATTGGGGGAGTAGCAATGGCTCTTTAGAAAATTAACGGTTAAGAGTGGATATCTGAACTTTTGCGAATTGACGCAGATAGAAAAATATTGATTTTCATATAATTTCAGCGCTGCTACACAGTCACCGGGACAAAAAAGTGAAATAGTGACTGTTTCTTGGTAGAAAAAATGATAAAAAGTGACCTCTCAGACGTCAAAATAGTGAACAAAAGTGACATTTTTTGTCAAATTCTGAGAACAACCAAGGTCATTTTAGCAAAAAAGCAATACTTACATTTGATTTATTTTTCGATAACTTAAGGATAACATAGCGAGTTCTTTTCATAGTACGAAAGTAACTTTGTTTGAAAGTTCATAATAAGAAACGACGAAAGACATGAATGATATAAGTACGCTTTCGAAGAAGTTTTAAGAGAGACGGCAAAGTTATATGCAGAACGTCTATATTTTACAAATTTAACAGCAGCTCAGGAGAAAAGTGACTATATGACCCGTGGACAATAGTAAATTTTTAATGACTTGTCAAGAAAAAGTGACGAAAGATGAATTAAGTGATTGGATGGCAGCGTTGTATAATTTATATATGATGAGACGTCTGATTAGTTATTAAAATATTGAACTGAATATTGAGAGTAGACAAGCTATAAAAATAGCGCGTTTGAATCAATAGATCACTGTATCCGCGAAAATGGATGCTTCGATGAATTAGCTCGGCTCGCGAGTCTAACATTACCTGAACGGTAAAAACGATACAAGAAACAAATGTACACGAGTAATACGCGATAATACGCGAGAATTAATTAATACCCCGACAGTAGAAAAAAAATCGTTTCATTAATCGTAAATCTCACGAGTGTCTGGACTGATATCTTGCGAAAATATTAATAGTGAGGTTTCATTCTCAGATCGGTTTTGATTTCTCTTCAGGGAAAACTTCATTCGAGACATAATAACCGAGTTACCGTGCCGTTGAGAATTAAACAGATGCGACGGAGAAGTTTCGAGAGAAATAACAGGAACAGGAGTTTCCGCATTAATTGTCGGTACTGCCTTAGAAAACGTTTAATCGTCGGACTGTTTAGCGTCGAGATTAAAGTCTTGCGGCGGGCGAATATTCCGAGCAAATATTCGCGTAAATATACACGTAAGCCTCCGTTGAAAACCAAGTCCTGCTTTTTTCGGAATATTTTACACACAATAAGAATCACACACCGTGTGTACACATCGCACTCCTCTTTGAATTCGTAATTCAAGAACAGGAAAAATTATGACCGTGGAATTAATGGCTGTATCGAGCTATAATATCGCCGTGTTGAAATTCAGTACATAATCTTACATATGTGTATAAATAATACAATTCCAGGGTATATAATTTTACATATATCCCAACGGTACGAACGTAACAATAAGGCGGACCATAGACATAGAGATTCGCAACATTACTTCGTATTTCGCAAGACGATCGATTGCTAACGGCGAGCACTGCCGTACCGAAACTTGCCAAGAACGAGTTTTTTTTTTACATTACGAGAACTCGTTAAGCTGACGATGTAATGTCACTTTTGAAAACGCCGTTCTCGCCTATCTCCCCCTCTTTCGTTTCGTAGATCGTCGCGCGGGGATACATGTGTCATCTATAAAACATGGCGACCTTTATGAGACCTCCCCCCTCCGCCATACACCGTCCGCAAATCTCTCAATAATCCTGAGTGCTTTCCCAAATATTTCACCCGGGTTTTGCGCGCGTGGGTTTTCTTCCACGGACGATCCGTAAACAACGCCGATCAATGTTCGATATTTGCCGATCGATTTTCCGTATACAAAAAAAATTCCGTCGGCGAACGGATCCTTCTGGACGGCCTTCTGTCTGCCATCATCTATTTACTTAAATTATACGGGACGACCTCGTACCTTCTTATTCTGGATAAGAGGACACACTGTACATAAAACGCGTACGCGTGGGTCGGGTTACTTACAAAGGACTACGAGGATCGCGTCATTAATCTAAGATATTTTATTGTCCCTATCCGGTAAGGAAGGCTTTGTGTGTGTAAAGTGTCCTTTGGCGACAATAAAATTGCCATTTTCCCTTAACACCGAGCAGTTATCTTTAATTTTACGGCCCGAAAGAAAACGATAAAAGTGTATATAATTTTGCGGGCGTGAATGTTTTTAAATAGGACCTTGAATTATCCTATTTTTTTTAGAATTCAAACTCTTCCTTGACGTTTTATACCAAAAGAAAAAAGTGCTACATTCAAATAAATTTTGCTAAGAAGTATAGGAATAATTACCTTATTCGGATTAAATAAATATTACTTAAATGTAGCACTTTTTCCTTTCAGTATGTTAATTTCAAACAATATTTACTTAATTACTCCAATACTCCTTAATAAATATCTTCTCAAATGTAGCATTTTTTTCTTTCAACGTACTAATTAATTATTTTTCATTTAAGTATCTAAAAATTCAATATAAAATTAATCCGCTTAATAGGTAATACTAGCTAATAACTTTTTATTACATACAAGTAATAAAAATTTGTCTTTTTTATTCTTACAATATCCTACTTGCTTTCGATTTGCTCAAATATTTAAATATAGCAATTCACGTAATTAATCTCATTTTCTAATCCTGTCACTCGCACGCCGGTATATGAACCGCTTCATCTTCTCTTTTTCGTCGGGAGAAAAAAATATAATATACGATTAATATAAATATCACTGGCACACGTACTCCGCGACGGCGATGTTATCAATCATCGACACGCAAGGGAGAGGCGAGAGAGGAATTTTTCTTCTTACCTGATCGACGGTTCTCTGAAGGATCTGACATTTGTCAGTCTTGCCAGAGCTCATGTCCGTGGCGGAAATCAGCTCGGCAAGCTCATCGATATACAAGTTCTCTTGGGTCCGTCGTCTTTTTTCGTTAAGGCACTTGTTACTGCAAACAATCGAAATGGAGAATTAACGCACTTGTCACACCAGATGGCTGCTTTAAATTCGATTCAAGAATGCATGATATTTTAAGACTGTGTGTGACAACCCAAAAAAAATTAAGAGAATTCAGAAAAATATGAGAAATATTTTATTATAATGGAAATTAATATCGAGAAACATAGTGCATGCATAGTGAACGGTACGCGAACGTTAATGTGCGGATATAAAAATACCTAAAAACTGTTATTAATAAAGATTTAGAACGTTTGTTCTACAGAACTACGTGAACTTGCGAAACGCCATTAAACTCGAGACACCAGAAAGTCTCCGTTATTAACTTTAGATGCCACCTCGTCAATTCGCGCATTTTGTTGCCTATACGAGACCGACATTCTTGTTTTCCGACGAAAATCCTCACATAAGTTAATTACTCAAGTAAACCTGTTAAACACATGGGACACACGTCGCTATTACTTTTACGGCCGTGGTTTCGCCGGTTTTATCGCGCCCGAGAATGCCCTCATTCGTGATAAGCAAAGTGGCCGGTTCTCCCAAGAATGCGTAACATACTCGTAAATCCATGTTCCGACACAGCGCGGCGTGCCGTTCGGCGTTACGTTCTTTTTTCTAACACTTTGTCGCACAATTTTAATATTCCTATAATTAGATTCCGCTCAAACAAGTTGACTCTTCCGCCGAAACGGCAATCGTTATCTCTCTCGCGAATTTATCAAACGCATCGCACGATGTGTGTCTTGACGATGAAATTTCGCGGAAAGAGAAAAGGAGGGAGGGAGGGAGAGAGCGAACACGCGCGTTTCAAACTCGCGCGAAGACTCGTGCGAGTAGGTTTCGTTATTCAATCGTGACTCTCGGCTTCAGTTGAGAAAACATCGGCATCCGATTGATCATTAATCAATCGATCACGGCGAATTATTCGTCGTTGAAACTCGACGGAGATTCCCCGTTACGTTCCGCGACGGAACGTCTCGTCGCGTCGTCAGAGGGACGCAAGATCCCGCGAGAGAAGAAATTCGGTCATTTTTAACGAAGGAAAAATCATTAGATGCTGAATCAACTTTAGTCTCGTTGAAACGCTCGGTTAACCTTGCATGACGTCACGTCGATTCGGCAATGACTCTCACTTTGCTAAAACGCTACTCTGCTATTTTAATATCCCAATACGGCCGTCTTACCAGTTACTATCTCCCCGCCGCGTGTGTGTACCCCTCGCGAACGTGCGTCGTGAACAGTCACGAGGTTAAAATCGCGACCGCGAGCGATGCGAGACCGCGGCGAGTTCGATGTTGCAAAAAAAAATGAAAAAAGAGATTAACGTCGCGCGAATTGCAAATAAATGCGAAGAGAGATCTCGTTTTATTCTCCCGAATGAACGGAGTATCGTCTGGAAAAGTCGCATCCCGCCATGAGTTTCTTATTGACACGTGCGACTTTCCTCACGTCGAGTCTACACAATAAGAAATTAAATAACATTTTTCTCTTACGAATATTTCTCTGAATTTAGAAGCAACAGTTGAGACACTCTTATGTTTGTTAATAACGGCGATAACGCGATTGTTATAGAAATAACGATTAAATTTTCCGGATGTGCAAACACAAATAAAGATACAATTCACGTAATAATTTCATAAAACTCCATTCGTATGCGACATTAAGCAAATATTGCTTTGACATTAAAGCCTGCTCAATCGGTGGCGAACGCTTAAAAACGCGCGCGTTTATGTTTGCCATTAATAATTCGATCGGAACGATAAGCTCTTTAGCAAATTGAACGGGAACGGATTACGGCATGGCTGCCGGCGTGTATGCATCGTCGAGCATTTAAATCAGGGGTTCCCAAACTTTTAAATCTCGCGCTTCGTTCGACATTTCGGGCAAGCTCCTTTAATGAAAACTCAACAAGGAATTAACATTACAATTCAGAACTGACGTTCTCCGTCTCGTCAAATCTCTCGAGTTAGCCCGAGCTTCGCGAAACAATTTCTTACTTTTCCCAACGCGCGTTATTTTGCGATGAATTATCAGCGCGCGACTAATATATTTTATGAGAATTTTTCCATTTCATTCGTGTTAGATTAAATCACGTTGATATCAGGAAAGTGGTCTGAATTTTTCTAAACGAAGAAAATAAACCCGAACATTCATGATGTGAAACTTCGAGTTCAATTTCGAACGTCACGCTTTTCCTCTTTTTCACTAATCAAGCAAGACCTCCAATCTGAGAACCAATGCCTTAAATTTCGATATTGCAGTTTCGATATTTACCTTTCGTTAGTTCGATAGTTATCGTGATTATTCTCATGAATAATGCCGTTAATTATTGATGCCTGCACGAATCGAAATTATGTAATAATAAAAGGTCGAGTTATATAATAAAGAAGTAATAAAGATGGGAGATTTGAGTGTATCGCGTGTTTTCATTATCTGTATATACGTAATAAACGCTATCGCTATTATAATTTCTGCCCTGTCGCGACACTTCCGATAAATGGAATCGAATGACGTAGATGCTCGGGATAGCTCCTCTCCGCTGACTACAGCGTCCGATGCCAAAACGAACGAGAGCGAAACGCGAGTACTTATCGCTCACCATGCCGTCCAAATTGCGGATCCGAGCTCATCGTATTTTGAAACGCGACAAACGACGGGAGATTGTACTCACATCTGCGACTGAGGCTTCGCATCGGATTTCTTTCTTTTCTTCGTAATGCTGCCAGTAATCGCACTCATTTTGACCCACAACTGCGGGTCTTGCAGTTCACACGGGCCAGGCCTGCAACACAAGAGCGAAATTCGTCATCACACACACGAACGTGTCGAAAGTAGGAATAATTAAGTACGATTTTAATAGTTTCAAGTGTACGAAGTTTCACGGCTTGTATTTACATCGTTTGTGAAATAAAATAATAGGTTTAAAGAAATTTGCATAGAAATCGGCTTACATTATTAATTTCTATTATATATGCTTATATGAGATTTGTAACAAAGTAACCGTGAAGTACCGGGTAAAGAAAAAAGTTTTCACTTCACCGCCTAGAGAGACTCCCTTGAAAGACGCTCGGGTTCGACACCATCTTCTGAACGTTGGCACCGAGATAACATTGATAGTGCAATAATCGATGTTCTCGGTATCAGATAGTGTCGAACGGAGAAAGGTCTCAGTATCGAGGAGGAGCAGCAGCTAGTAGTACCCCAAATATCTCTGTCGCGTGCAGCGCTCTCTCTCTCTCTCTCTCTCTCAGCTCCTACGGAGGATATTTTTCACGGAATTTGATCTCGTCGCGAAGGCGAATCATCTTCGAATGATCCGCTCCTGCTTAATTTGCTGCACGTGGATGAAAACCGCGCGTGCTGTCCCTTCCCCTCCCGGCCCCGTGCGTATCCAGATTCTTCGTCTCGTTATACGCACACACGTATAAACATACATACGCACATTCGTACAGACACGTACCGTGTCATCACTGATATTTCTCTCCTGCTTTTCATATTCCCGTGGCTCGTTTACCTCGAATCGATGAAAGCTCTTCCGAGACGGAGCACATTATGCTCGGCAAACGGAGCCGAGAAAAATGATTTTGCGAGCAGCGATTCCCCAGCATTATTGAGAGGAAATCGGCGAGTGTCGAATTGTCCGACGATGTCTGTCGCGATCGTTCAGATTTTGTATTCAAAGGACTCCATTGTGAACGGCATCATTGCGCGCTCTTCACACGATTTTTCCAAACGCCTTCCGGACCCTCGCGTATCGGAAACCTTCCTTATCCTCGTCTCTCTCTTTCCGCGTCAAAATCGGACTCATCGGCTGCCACCCGCTATAAATACGCGCGGCGCAAGAGCGACTCGAAATAAAGCCTCGGACTAACCGCGGCGTAATGTAGCGTGCGATTCCTTGAGATCGTTTTTTTCTGCCGTTCTCTCACTCTCTTATTCTCCTTCTCTCTCCGCCGGTCAGTTTATCATCACGGCGCGGCGAGGCTTCCCTTCGCCCTTTGTGTATGCCTTTTCGGTTCGTTTCCCCCGAATCGATAAAATTCCTTTATGGCGACACACGCCGGCAGCGTTATAATAAACCGGGGAATCGGCCGCTAACCAAGTGCCTAAAGATAACACCCGCGCGCGCAATAATAATAAATGCCGCGAAGCGCTACAGAAGGTATTATGTATGTGTGTGTACCGGAAGTTGGCCGGATTCGCGACTGCGCGTGCGTATTGTGCCTCCCGCGAGTCGTTAGGTCTCGAGTACACCGGCAATTAATTTCGTCAAAACGGCGAAGTATCTCCTGATCCGGGTGGTCACATTCCTCGAGGAATCCTTCGACACAGCCGCGCGCGATGCCTCGTCGTCGTTGAAGTTAACAAGCGCTCACTTCAGCTCGCTTTGTCTTATTACCCGCGACTGGAAGATCATAGTTAATTCTAGGACACACTGCGTACGCACATCGGAACGGAACAAACAGAGTCAAATAGTATCTCATATCAAGGCGCTCGTCTGAGATAATAGCTTACGCAGCTTTATATACGCGAGACGGCTTGTTTGCCCCGCTTTACACAATTGCGATACACGTAGATTCCGTTCGCGAGCGAATGTGATCGATCCCGCGTCGCGATCTCTCCTGCGAATTGCAAAATCTCGCGAGCTCTGACAAGAAGCGACGACGATTCGCTGAAGAAAGGATCTGATAACAACAATTACCGAGATTGCTTAAATAGTTCCAGCTAAATTGCTTGGTTACCGCAACCAAATCATTAAGTATACATATATTGTATACAGGGCGTATCTTAACTCTGCTGACAAACAGGATAGAACATTTTTAGTCCCTGTATAACTAAGTCTGGTAACTAAGTTTCAGTCGCACTATATGGACAGCTAATTCCTTTTTTACGTGTACGCACTCGAGCGAACGTGTTACTTCGCGGACTCCATCGTCGTCGTTGTCCGTTAATTTATCGGCCTGCCGATAACGTAATTAACGAGTTGTAAAGACTTGGGTTACTATATCTCATACGCATACACTCAACGACGCATCTTCGCACTTTGCGCTCCTTTGACGAATATAACAATGTTACGCTATTCTTATCGTCTCCGTTCGTTTATCTCGCTCGTTTAAAACGCGAGAGACGCAACAGCCGAAAAATTATTATTTTCTTATTTCTATTTTAATGCGATCGACGATAAAACGGCATACAGAGGGGACTGAATTTCGCAGAGACGAAGAGACGCAAAAAATTTCGCGAATTTCGTCCGTTTCATCGGTGCAACAAGCACCGCGTATACGGTGTGACAGCAGCTTTTGAAATCCCGCACAGCACGCGTGCGCTCGTGCACACGAAACGTATTTATTTTTCTTTAATGTCACACGGTACCTTCCCGGAATACTCGATTTGTACGCCACGCTTTAACGAAATTTAATTCACGGTTCGATCGCGAAGATAGATACACACACGTACTGCGTCGAATATTAAAAAATAACAAAGGCTGGGACACGAACAAACGGCAAAATAACGCCGAAATAACGTTAACTGTAAAATTGCGAAAAAGAAAAATATTTCCGTGTTTGCTCTCACCCCCCTTCTCTCTGGCCGACGGCCGGAGATACGGAGAACGCGTAATTTTATACCAAGAGGCGTGCATAGAATTATCAACGTCGGATCGCATCATCGATGCAGTACAGGCGCAAAAAAAAAGGAAAGAGAAAAAAACAAGGATAATATACGTCGCTGCACGCGACGTTACGTCTGAGTGACTGTTAAATTCGAAAAATCAACGATAACTTGCGCACAAGGCGATTCTTACGTCACTTCACAATCGGTTTCGGATTTCGGTACAACGCGACAAAAAAATCAGACGGGGGAATCGTAAATGTCCGTGCATAAAATATGGCAATTTAAAGCTCGTTAGCCGGTAAGCAACAACCGATTCAGCTGAGCGCATTTCGTACGTATACGTGCGTGTATATATACATGTATGGGCGCACATGTAAATAACGTGCGCATATGTAAGAGATAGTAGCATAGCCGTATCGCGCATGAAGAGTCGTTTCGACAAATTCAACATCGGGATACAATATATATATACAAAGACGATATGTCTCCGCTAATTATTGCAGACGGCCACGTTAAATTTTAATGGCGGATTCCTCGGTCGTCTTGCAATCGATTTTTCCCGAGTTGAAAATTATTCGGAAATCACCTTTCGGCATTATTTGTCGACGATCAAGCGAAGTCGCTTTAGAGAATCGCGAGGAGACTGAGGCGTTAGTAATTAGTAAATACTACACGCCCGAGACTCTGCTCGATCGCTTAATTAATGCAACACTCACTAATCCCTCAGTCAACCACGCGTACAATTTTTACGAGACTTCTTCACTCTAATCGAGAAATTAGCCGGGGCGGTTCGCGCGTGTAAACGTATCGCAGAAGTGGCTTAAAATCCCCGGCGAGTGCTACTGGTTTCTTAATGAGAATTTAATTACGAGCAATATCAAATTACACGTGTAACGATATCGATTTATCGGGAATTAATTTAGACGATTTTTAAAGTAATATCGTCGCGTGTAATTAATGTGAAATTATTATCTGCCACTCGTTAGGTCGTTAATACTACGAAATCGACACGTGCGAAAACTCGAATGTCAAATTCTCGAATATGAAATTTACGAGCGTTGCACGCCAATTCTTCTTCTTTTATTTCTCATGCAGTTAAGATAATTATATAGCACAATATCGTATTTTTTGCGACGCATCAAAGGGAGCAGTTTTAAGTTATGAATTTTATGCCGTTATATTTTCAAAACAAAATGGTCAATAATTGTGAAATTACCATTTAACGTCTGTATATTAGTTCTTAATGTGACAGTAGTTTCCATTAACATTCTAAATACGATTTAGAATAAATTAAAAATAAAAATAAAACATTAACTTCAAGGAACACACAAGAAACAGGTATAAAATGTTATTTTCAGCTATGAATATCTCAGTTTCTAAATAGTTAATCGCGCCAAAAATTAGACCATACTTAAATCTATCTAGCGCAAATTCCAATGAATTCTTAAAATATTCATTTCACGCTACAACTACCTTAAGGTCTTCTCTTTTCTCGCATGAGAAGCGAAGACGTATTTCAAATTCGATAAAACGCGCCGAATTCCGCGGTGACACACGGAGATAGCGTTATTATCTCGAGAAAACAAAGTCACAATGACGGTCGCCCTAATTCTCTTGACCCAGAATCGTCAAGAACGGCGTCCCGGCAGATCTATAACGTAAAAAAAGCTGGAAAGAAAAAAAATAGATCCGATCGAAACGGCGCGGGCGTATCGGAGACGAAAAATCGTGTCACCGGGCGCGAATTAAGAGAGAAGGAACGATTGGAAAAGCCGAGACAGAGCTGCCGTCTCGCCCACGAATGTGCCCGACGACGACGGTGCGTCCTCCTCACGCAGCGACGCGATTTCGCTATCTCCGAAGAATATATACACATAAAATATACATTCGCCCGAGGTGAGGCGCAATGTAACGTCGAGTGTTTTTTTTGCGACGTAGAGCGACGGGCAATCGTTCAACGAGTCGTTATGACGACGTCGTTTAAATTAACGAAGCGCCTATTAACGACCGACCGATCGATCAGTCGAAGAGCGCGCGGGGGAACGTCGCGCTCGAGACGACGCTATAATTCGGAAATTACGCGTCCGTCCGCCAGCGATCCGAAGGCGCGAGGGTCGATCGCAAAGCAGCGTGTCGTCCGGGACAAACGTTAAAAATAATGTCTCGCGC